CTCTCCACTCGCCCTTCTGGAACGTGTCTACAGTCTCAGCCACTCTGATTATTTTCTTGGATGTTCACTAAAGTTAGTTTAGCTTCCCCTGTGCCCTTCAGTGTTTCCATGTTTCTCAAATGATTTTTGCTGCCCTGAGGACAGAATTCTCTTATCTTATGAAATTTTCTTCTAAGTGCTCCTAGAAACTTAACCTATTTTGGAGATGCTCAGAATGTTACCTTTTTTATATCTGAGCCTGCCTTTCCCCAGAATTTTCTCTCACTCAGAAATATCTCTGAGGTATTTATATCCCAGAGGAAGTTAAAGATAATTTGCAGTGAGTAATCACCCTTGGGAAAATAATCAGCAAGTTTCTTTTGGTTGTCGCTCTGCTTTTTCCCGCCGGTAAATCTTATAGTACCTAAATTGCAGAATGTTGGCATTCTTTTTAATAGCCACAGTTCAGCGCCTTAAGAAGATCAGGGTCCCAGTTTCTTTCCTTTTTCCTTCCTAATCCATCCCCTCTCCCCCCTCCCCTCCTCCGCTCCCTCCCCCTCCTCCCTTTCTGTTTTATTGATGTAGGTTTTATTGTACATACACACGTACAGCTCAGTGAATTTTCACAAAGTGCGTGTAGCCCACGTCACGAGCGTCCAGCTCACGACACACAGCATTGCCCCCACCCTGAATCCCCTTCGTGCTCCCTTCCAGTTACCGACTTCCAGTCAAGGATAGCAGTTATCGCAGTCAGTGTTACTCAGGAATAAGTAACAAGGGAAAGAATTGAGGATCTATCTTGTAGAATGCCTTGTTGGCCGTTTTCCTTTTTTCTCTAAGTTATCCTTTTGATGAAGCCCTAAGGTTCAGCTGAACGGGCATTAGGAAGAGGAAGACATCGTATTAGCACTCACGGGGTGTTTGTGTTCTTGTCCTTCTTGGTCAGTGCATCTGGGAGCATTGAGGACTGTTGCCCGCAAGCTCGGCAAGCCTCACCCCTCACCAAGGCTGAGCCGACCTTGATCATCCCCAACTGAAAAGAAGGCTTTTCATCCTGTCCAGGGGTGGGGCCTGGAGTCAGTAGTCACCTTGCTCCTTGGCCCAGGAAACTGTCCTCTCTCTGCCCTTACCCGGCGCCCCGGTCCCATCCACGAGTACCTCCTGCTGTGTTTCCTTGACCTCTCTGGTCACGGCAGTGGGGCTGGGCCCACAGCCCCTGCCCAGCTACCCTGGATGCCTTTCTTGTCCAGGGAAACTGGCCACCCAGAGATAGGTGGTCCCCGTGCTGCCACCGGCACCCCCAAGCTGTCCGCATGGTCCAGTCTGCAGGGCCCCCGGGAAGGCCGTGCCGTCCCCAGGAAGCACCGGCTCCCTGCTTGGCGAGGCCATCCCCCTGCGTCCTCAGCATCCCCTGCGCCCCCTCAGTCTGCTGACCAGAGACCCTCAGAGCACTCAGGTCAGTGATCTGAAGACGGGTGCACAGGTGAACAGGGATTCAAGTGAGAGAGACCCGGTAGGGCACGCATCAGCTCACCCCTTTTCTGTGATTCACGTGAAAAACACGGCCGTTATCAAATTGTGTCCCCCCACAGCTAACCCCTCACTCACCCAAATATACCTTGGGGGGCAGTAAGGAAGCACGTGGGGTGGTGATAGCAACAGGGCGACCGCTGAGGCCTGATGCCTCCGCACGCTGGCCCTCACCTTCTGACCAGAGGGACCATAGATGCACACGTGTTTAGCTGTCCCGCCAGCTGTGCTGAGGTGGGAATTGTTGCTACTCTTGTTGTTCACATAGAACCATGGACAGTTTCAGATGACCTTCAGGGAACTAGAGCTGGGTTGTTCCACCCAGAGATAAAACCGGTAAGGTTTTTTTGATGACGTCATGTTCTTGGAATGAATGTAATGTGACGAATCATAGCCTGATGCCGTCTGTCTCTGCCAGAGTCAGAACTGTTCAAAGTCCGAAACCTGGGAAACAGTTGACATGAAAGAGAAGCCCTTCCTGACCCAGATGTTGGATTTGCTGAGCTGACCGGATTTGGAATTTCCATTATTCCTTTTTTTAAAAGCTAGGACACTGCCTCCTTTGTCTGGGACAGTGTTGGGTGGTCCCGCTGCTGAAGCGTGAGGGTCCCCGTGTGTCTCAATGATCCCCGATGGCCTGCGAGCGGCTGTCCACCCGGAAGTGACCCGGCCATCTGCGCTGTCCTGAGGACATGAGTCGTTTTGATTGACTTTTCAACCCTGGCTTTGGTCGCACCAGATTTTCGTCTCAACCTGTTCAATAAACGAGGACATTTACACTTCAGATCAAAAGCTGTTCCTGAGTGGTGTTCATTGAACTAAAACAGAGGGTGCCGTCCTGGTTTTGTGAGGTGGGTGGCATTGTCATCCCTCTGGGTCCCTTTGGCCTCTCCAAACGCCAGTGAAGATTGTGCAGATGGAGAAAAATGATGCTTTGTGTCATAGATGGCACGAGAGAGAAGTGTAGAAAACGTTTTCATGTTTTCGGAAAAGAAAGATCTACCGCTTTCAATGTAAAGTGAATTTACACAGCAAGGAAGTCAGGGAGGGAGGGAGGGAGAGAGAAAAGAAAGGGAAAAGGAGGAAGGAGACACAGCAAGAGGACACGTGCCCTGCAGCCGGGCGGGCAGGAGCCCGGCTGGTACACCAGCAACATTTCTTTTCACTTCAGCTCTCTGGTACACCGGCAACATTTCTTTTCACTTCAGCTCTCTCACCTGTCAGATGAGCACCACACAGCTTACCGTGCATGGTTGTTCTGGGAGTTAAATGAGAAAATACACAGCGACAGGCACCTTGTAGACACTCAGCAAACGTTTCTGCCCTACCGCCCCCTTAAGTCTGGATCGCGGAGCATTTGGAAACACCGCCCCTCACGGTGATGCCCGGTTTCCCTGCAGCTGGCCCGGCCCAGCCTGGCTTCCCCTTCCCAGGGTCTGACAGCCCACTGTCTGCTTTGAAAGCTGGAGAAAGCTGGAGACTCCGAGTGAACTGGATGGATCGTGGCCCCGCCCAGCTCTTCCCTCTTCAGAAGGTATAAAATCAAAGCACTTTCCATGTCTAGAGCAGCCCCCAGCCCCCTCATCAGGTAGCTCCAAAGTCCCCAGAGAGACTCTTGAAGCCAAAGATGCAGATGAGCCACTTGTCAGGGGTCCCGGCTTTGGCGTCCAGCCTGAGAACAGACTGGACCCTCCCAGCGGGGGATGCTCAGACGTTTATGTCACACTGGTACCTGGCAGCTTGTGTGTTTGGTTGTGCTCTGGGCCACGTCCCCTCGCGGGGGGTGGGAGTGTGCTTGCAGACCAGACCCGGAGCAGGACGCAGAGCTGAAGGCGGCGCTCCAGGTGTGGGCCTGGGTCCCCGGCATGTCCTGGTTCAGGTAGAGCCGCGTGTGTGGCGGCAACACTACCTCCTCCACCGAGAGCGCCCAGGACAGGCCTGCGCTCGGGGCCCCGGGGGGTGCCCTCCTGCAAGCGCCTCCACGGCCTCTCCTTGGCTGTTTCAGCACATTCAGGCAGCCGCTGTGTAGATCAGCCTAAGCGGTGAGGGGTCGGTGGGCTTGGGAACCTGGCATTTCATTCAGGATGAGCCTGTGAACTTGGGAAGAAAACCAGCCCTGTTAGGATGAGCTCGGTCAGGGAGAAAGAGGCAGATGGGTGTGAGGGTCTAAGAGCTGGAGGTAGCCTGGAGCTACCAGGGGTCCTGCCTGGGAACCGTCGTCTCCGTGGGCTGCCTGTCAAGTTGGATATTGGCTTCCTTATCACTGTTTGCCAGGCAGCTCCCAGGGCCCCCGCCTGTCCTGAAGGAGGAACTCCTTTCTCCCCCGCTGAGATGCCCCCAAGTTGTAGGGAGAAGAGGGTAGTGGCAGGAGTAAGCCATGTGGGTTTTTAAGGTCTTCTTGTTTAGTCTTGGTCTCCCTGTTGTTAATTGGGGTCATAGGTAATGATGGTGATGATGGTGATGGTGGTGATGGTGATGATGGTGGTGGTGATGATGGTGGTGGTGGTGGTGATGGTGATGGTGGTGGTGGTGATGGTGATGGTGGTGATGGTGATGGTGATGGTGATGGTGGTGATGGTGATGGTGGTGGTGATGGTGGTGATGGTGGTGATGGTGGTGGTGATGGTGGTGGTGGTGGTGGTGATGGTGATGGTGGTGGTGATGGTGATGATGGTGGTGGTGGTGGTGGTGGTGGTGATGGTGATGATTCTTCTTTGGCCACATAAGGCTGGGAGGTGCTGGGATGTGCAAAGCTGACTAGGTAGGTTAATTCGAGAGTAAGATGTCAGAGCCTTTGACATACCAGAGGGTGGGCAGAAGTTCCCTACTGTTTTGAGATGTAGAGAAGAAACTTATGGTTACCAAGAGGGGAAGGTGGGATGGGGTGAATTGGGAGATTGAGATTGACATATATACACTACTATATATAAAATAGATAACTAATGAGAACCTGCTGTATAGCACAGGGAACTCTACTCAGTGCTCTCTGGTGACTTAAATGGGAAGGAAATCTTTTTAAAAAATGGATATATGTATATATATAACTGATTCACTTTGCTGCACATCAGAAACTGACACAATATTGTAAAGCAACTATACTCCAATAAAAATTCATAATAAAAAAAAGAAGCTCCCTACTGTTTTGAGCTCCAGAGGCTTTTCTCGTGCCTTTTTTTGTTTTTCTTTTGTTTTTTGGCCATGCTTCATAGCTTGCAGGATCTTAGTTCCCCATTGCCCCTGCGGTGGAAGCATGGAATCTTAACCACTGGACCGTCAGAGAAGTCCCTTGTGCTTTTCTGTGAATGGATTTGGGCAACACCAGGCCACCATTCCTGGCACCAAAATTAAAGGTACTGCCAGAAGATTGGGTAGTGTCTGATCTTGTCTTACTGCAAACCCAGAGGTGGTTACGCACATGGATCCTAGCACGGTCCTGTTCATAGTCTGTGACTTGGCACGGTTTGGTGATAAATGCTGCTTTTCCCCCACAGAACATCGATATCACCAATTTCAGCAGCAGCTGGAGTGATGGCTTGGCCTTGTGTGCTCTCCTGCACACCTACCTGCCTGCTCACATCCCGTACCAGGAGCTGAACAGTCAGGAGAAGGTAAGTCCCCACCCCCACCCCTCCCTGGTCACCCCTGTTACCCTCCAGAACACACAAGGGGAACTCCTCATACTTTTGATACATCCCAACTGGGGTGAGGTTTGTGGACTTGAGGTGGAAATTGGGGTATTGATGCCAGCACAGATAACTACAGAGGACAGGTCTACACTGCAGAACCCCACCCCTGGTAAATGTTCTCAGTTTCCTTTGTTACCTAGAAAAACACAGTGGAGCCCAGTTGACTGTGGCTGCTGAGAAGTTCCTGTCACCCGGTTTTCAAAGAAAGCCCTGATGGACTCTCACCTTCAGGGTTTCAAGACCTTGGCCAGCATTTTCAAAATCTTTCAAATTCCAAAGAACCAGAAAGCACCACTAATAAGAGTTCCCTGCTCAAATAAGCTTGGGAAGCTGTATATTTGATCACACTTTTGGAGATTCACAGCACTCGTAAAGACTTCAAGAAGTCCTTTGTTAAAGAAACCTGTGTGACTCTGTTTAGCCCAACCTATATCAGAGCCACAGAACCTTTTTAACTTTTAATATAATCACCCGTAACAGGAATCAGCGGACTTCTCCTGTTGGGGGCCAGTGGCAGGCTTTGTGGATCTGTGTTCTCTGTCACAGCTACTCACTCAGCTCTACCATTGTGGCTCCCAAGTGGCCACAGACGTTTGTAAACAAATGGGCATGCTGTGTTCCAATAAAACTTTATTTACAAAAATGAGCTGAGGGCCAGGATTGGCCTGCAGGCTGTAGTTTGCCAAATCCTGACCTAGAACATCCTAAAAATCACATTCCACAGAGTGTACTTTGGGAAACGCTGTCCCGGGCCCTGTGCTCATTCACTCAACAAGCATTTCTTGCCAGGCGTCAGTCACACTAATAAGCGCAGCAGTAAGCACGTAGACAGGTTCTTTGTCCTCAGGAGGTGGACGTTCAGTAAACAAGTGAGTAAACCTGTAACAAGCAACACTGTAAATAAACAAAATGTGGGAGAACATGAGAGAAACACGGGGCTGTAGGGTGAACAAGGGGACCTAACTTCCACCAGGAAGGCTGGGAAGGTCTCCCAGGAGGTGGAAGTCCAGCTGAAAAGCTGACGTGAAGGAACCAGTGACACAAAGCCGGGGAGCTTTCCAGAGCCGGGGAGCACAGCCGAGGGGACGCCCAGTGCTTGCGGCCAGGGTTGCAGGGCACAGGGAAGGTGGCCTGCCATGCCGCCTGGCTTCCGCGACGGCTGGCAGACGGCACTGGACAGTGACAGACGACGATGCCTGTTCTGAAAAGATCTCTCTGTGAAAAAGTGAACTGTCACGGGGACAAGAATGAGAGAGAGGCTGCAGTTGGGAGGTTGTAGGCATTGTGGTGGGAGCTCACTTCCCTGTTCACCCGTTAGTGGAGGCCGGTGGCAGCATCGTGGGTGGGAAGGCGGAGGAAGATTCGAGATACATCTGAGACGCAGAACCAGCTGGACGCGGTGACTAAGTGGCTGTGGGGAGAAGAGAAAGTCGGAGGCGACCCAGGTGTCTGGCTGGCAGGACTGTTTGCTGAGGGGGAAGGAACAGAAATGTTTGAAAGCTCTGGTTTTGACTTTCTCACACTAGGATGTAAAATAAAGTCCAAATCGTCCTGGCACTGATGGCGATGATAAAGGAACAAAGTGATTTAATTGTTTAGAGTGTGTATCGGTCAGGGTTCTCCAGAGAAACAGAACTACTAGGATTTGGGTGTGTATGTGTGTAAACACACAGATATATATACACACATAAAGAGAGAGAGAGAGGGAGAGAGATGTTTATTTTAAGCAGTTGGCCCATGCAGTTGTGGAGGCTGACAAATCCAAAGTTTGCAGGGCGGGCTGGCAATCTGGAGACACAAAGTGTCGGTATTATAGGTGGAGTCTAAAAGCCATCTGCCAGCAGAATTCCCTCTTCTTCGTGGGAGATCAGTCTTTTTTCCATTCAGGCATTCAACTGATTGGGTGAGGCCCACCCACGTTATGGCGGGTCATTTGCTTTACTCAAAGTCCACCAATTTAAATGTTAATCTCGTCTTAAAAATACCGCCACAGAAATACCTAGAATAATTTTTAGTCAAATATCTAGGTACCAAGGCCTAGCAAAGTCAACACATAAGATTAACCATCACAGAAGTATTAAAGTTTCAGAGCATAAATTAAAATTTATGCTTTGTAATCTGTAGAGCAGGCTGGACAGGATTATTAAACATTTTGGGGGAAAAATGGTCCGTTTTGAATCATATTACATCTGAGATGTCTGTGAAGTATGCAGGTAGCAATGTCAGAGGCAATTGGATAGCAAACCCAATTGCCTCTGGGTTCAGAGGGCAGGTCAGAGCTGGAAATAGAGATTTGGGGCCCCAGGAAATGGACCAGCTCTATCTAATTGAGCTGAAATGATGGAAATGTGATAGATACATCCATGCTGTCCCATGCAGTAGCCACTCGCCACATGGGCTGCTGATGGGAAGTGTCTCGTGTGACTGGAAAACTGAATTTTTAATTTTAATTACTTTTAATTAAATAGCCACATGTCATGAGTGACATGAACCTGAACAGGGCAGGTATAGGTGGTATTAAAGCCGTGAGTGTGGAGGTCACCTGGGCCCCAGGCACTAAGGAAAGGCCCTCCCATGCGTCTCCTCTGCTCTCAGCATCTCACTTCTGACACCTCTGTGAACAGGTGTGGGGGGCCCACACCAGGTGATTCTGCACCACCTGCTGTGTGTCCGACAGCTTAACTCAGTTCTGACACTCTCCACCTGCACACGGCGTCAGGTCCCACAGGTTAAGGGCTCAGTCCTCCACAACTGCCCACCCCCTTCAGACACCTGTCACAAGTCCAGGTTGTCACCTGTGTTTCCAACCGACCGGCTGTAGATCAGAGGTTCCCAGGACCCCGTCCTCGGTTTCAGTTAATTTGCTAGAGCAGCTCACAGAACTTAGGAAAACAGCTTACTTACGAGGTTACTGGTTTGTTACAAAGGATATTAAAGGATACGGATGAGCAGCCAGATGAGGAGATCCATAGAGTGAGGTCCGGGAGGGTCCCGAGCACAGGAGCTTCTGTCCCCTGGAGTTTGGGGCATGCCACCCTCCCACACATTGATGCGTTCATCCACCCAGAAGCTTTCTGGACCCCGTCCTTTTGGGTTTTTGTGGTGGCTTCATTATTAGAGGCATGATTGATTAAATCATTGTCCTTTGGTGATTGATTCAACCTCTAGCCCCTCTCCCGCCCCTGCAGGTCAGGGCGTGGGACAGAAAGTTCCCACCCTCTAATCCCGTGGTTGGTTCCCCTGGCAACCAGCCCCATTCTTCAGTCATCCAGGAGTTTTAAAAGAATTGCCTCATTAACATAAATGCTGGTGTGGTTGGAAGGGGTTTGTTATGAGTAACAAAAGACACCTGTTTCCGGCTTCCCTGGTGGTGCAGTGGTTAAGAATCCACCTGCCAATGCAGGGGACACGGGTTCGAGCCCTGGTCCGGGAAGATCCCACATGCCCCAGAGCAACTAAGCCCGTGCTCCACAACTACTGAGCCTGTGCTCTAGAGCCCACGAGCCACAACTGCTGAGCCCGCGAGCCACAGCTACTGAAGCCCGCGCGCCTAGAGCCCTTGCTCCGCAACAAGAGAAGCCACTGTAATGAGAAGCCCACGCACCGCAACGAAGAGTAGCCCCCGCGCGCCGCTACTAGAGAAAGGCCGCGTGCAGCAACGAAGACCCAATGCAGCCAAAAAAAAAAAAAAAGACACCCGTTTCACCTTTATTGCTCTGAAGCTGTTTCTGGAACCGAGGACAGAAACCAAATATTGTAACAAAAGATGCCCCTGTGGCTCCTACGTAGAAAATTACAAAGGTTTTAGGAGCTCTGTGCCAGGAATGAGGACAGAGCAAAGGTGCATTTCTTACTGTAAATCACAACTTCACAGAGGCACAGGGAGAAGACCAAAGAACAAGCTTTGAGGACTCCACACCTGTCAGGACAGAGGAGGGTGTCCCAGTGGAAGGACCAGAAGATACAGCCATGGAGGAGACCAGCGGGGGCATGTGGAGTGCCGGGGTCCACGCAGCCCGGGCACTGCTGACAAAAAAATTCATCAGCTGATCTAACGAAGAAATAGAAAATTTTCTTGGAGCCAAGTTGAGGATTATAACCCGGGAACAGCCTCTGAGAAAGTTCTAAGAACTGTTCCACCCTTTAGAGGTCAAAGCACAGTTACATAGGATTTTGAGACAGAGGGCTGTGCCTTAAATGGTTAACATGATCCAGGTCTGCTGCGGGTCATGGGTCATGGGTCATCACGGCCCCTGGCAAGACTAAGAAGGAAGGTTGTCTCCTAGGGAGTGTCTCGCTGGTGCCGGGAGAATGGTGCTCCTTGCGGTTGAGCAGGCATTCCGGCCGATGGGGAGGG